CCCCCCTCTTTACTTTCCCCTTTACCATTTTGTGGTCCGATCCTACTGTTTTTGCCCATATGTCTGCTGTGTTCGTGACGCTTATTTCCTTTGATTACATGTTACCATTTTGGACTTGCCGAATATGTTTTCTACCCTCAGTCCATGTAGGTGTACCATGTTCGTAAAGGTCGCTGCCGTTCCCTTCCTCCTATTCACTTCCGTCCAGTCTGCCTAGTTGTGCATTGAAGTCGCCTAGTATGATACCTCGGTTTTTTTCGCACTTTTTGTTGTTGTTTCACTTCGATTTCTGAGTTCCGCCTGCCCTCTTTTGTCCGAGGGGATGTGGCATCCTATGATTGTTAGTCTTCTTATTTTCATCTTGATTTGGGCCATGGATATACTCTTGCTTTTCCTTCAAATTTTCTCCACCTCAATGCATCGGTGCTTCTTGATTACGATTTCCGCAACCCTGCTGGTTCTCTCCTTCTTCCCTCCACGTATCCGTCTACGCCTCCTATCAATTGTGGGTAGAAATCTTCCAGGTTTTCCCTGATGTATGCGTTGATTTCTTTTTTAATCATTTGGTTAATTTCCTGTGAGGCTCTGATGTCACTGGCAGTCGCCTCAGTTGGTGCGCAATCGCTCCAAACAGGCAGTCCCCATCCTTATTTATACTGATGCATTCTAGGATGTATTCTTTTGATCGCACTTCTATTTGATCGCTGTTACGAGTACTTGTCTTTAAGGTCTTAATCCTGGTTTGGGTGGTGGGTGCTGTTTATTGATCGCTAAAAGAGATACCTAGGAGAGATCATTTAGTTAAGTTAATTGTTAAGTCACCGAGACGTGCCCCTTCAGTCTATCTTTGACCGCCCCGTATATTCTATTGTGTCTGGGAGACTCTAAACTAAAGGTACTAACGAAAGTAAAAAGCGCAAAAAAACAGGAAAAAAAGCCGCTGAAATTTGGTAAGAAAGGTTTCCTTTTTTGTCAATCATGCCTATTAGACCGAAATTTGAGAGCCTAAATATTGTAATTTATGGCTTAGTTTCTTTATATGTCTCCGGTTGACAAGTTTATATTTCCTTTCCCAAGGGTCAATTTGTTCCACCCCGATTCGAAGTAGGTATATTCAATGTAACTCCCAGTGACTTGCGCCTCTCTATTCTATCTTTTCCCCTTTGTTCACTTTTAAATTAAATTTAGCCTTAATTCTAAGTAAGTAAGTGAGTAAGTAAGCAAGTAAGCACTTATCTTAGCTTTGCGCCCTTTTTTGTCCTGTTGATTGGAGGTTCCTGCCCTGTCTTCTCACGATTTAATTAGTCTCGCGCGTTATGAATCTTGAGATTAAACTTAAAACTGTAAAAATTCGTAAAATCTCAGCCACTGGACCGATTTCGATGAAATAAGCACTAAACAATTGCAAATTTTGTACGCTACCGACATACATTTTTAAACCTATACAAACACAAAAAACCACTAAAAAAGGCCGGAGCTCGCTCAAAACACGTCCGCTCGCCATGAAAGACGAACTTCTCTCCCGGCAGTGTATAACCTTCCTTTTTTACCAAAAATCGACTGCACCAAAATTTCTCGGGAAAACACTTTTTCTTATTAATTTTGGTGCGTAGAATCCAAAATAATTCGTACTTTTTCGATCAGACTTCTCAATCAAAAGTTATAGACTAGAAACCAATTTCGAAAGAAAATTCAAAGGGCTGTAACTTTTGAACTAGTAGCCCAATCTTGGAACTGTTTTAAATTATGGATTCTACAGGCCACATTCTATAAGAAAATTTTTTTTCCGGGTCGATCTGAGACAATTTTTTTTTTCGGGGCTCAAAAAAAGGCAGTGTATAACCTTCCTTTTTTACCAAAAATCGACTGCACCAAAATTTCTCGGAAAACACTTTTTCTTATTAATTTTGGTGCGTAGAATCCAAAACAATTCGTACTTTTTCGATCAGACTTCTCAATCAAAAGTTATGGACTAGAAACCAATTTCGAAAGAAAATTCAAAGGCCTGTAACTTTTGAACTAGTAGCCCAATCTTGGAACTGTTTGAAATTATGGATTCTACAGGCCACATTCTATAAGAAAATTTTGTTTCCGGGTCGATCTGAGACAATTTTTTTTGCGGGCCTCAAAAAAAGGCAGTGTATAACCTTCCTTTTTTTTACCAAAAATCGACTACACCAAAATTTCTCGGAAAACACTTTTTCTTATTAATTTTGGTGCGTAGAATCCAAAACAATTCGTACTTTTTCGATCAGACTTCTCAATAAAAAGTTATAGACTAGAAAAGAAACCAATTTCGAAAGAAAATTCAAAAGGCTGTAACTTTTGAACTAGTAGCCCAATCTTGGAACTGTTTGAAATTATGGATTCTACAGGCCACATTCTATAAGAAAATTTTTTTTCCGGGTCGATGTGAGACAATTTTTTTTTCGGGGCTCAAAAAAAGGCAGTGTATAACCTTCCTTTTTTACCAAAAATCGACTGCACCAAAATTTCTCGGGAAAACATTTTTTCTTATTAATTTTGGTGCGTAGAATCCAAAACAATTCGTACTTTTTCGATTAGACTTCTCAATCAAAAGTTATAAACTAGAAACCAATTTCGAAAGAAAATTCAAAGGGCTGTAACTTTTGAACTAGTAGCCCAATCTTAGAACTGTTTGAAATTATGGATTCTACAGGCCAAATTCAACTGATTTGCTCGATTTATTTCATTAATATCTCAGCTCTTTTGGGATACATAGGTACTTACCCATCAAAAGATCTTTTCTAATTCATCTTCACTTTTTAGGCGGTCTCAAGCAGTACCTATCTCCATCGCTAGCTATCTGAAACGACGACACTTTTCCGATGCGAAGACTGAAGGAACTAATCACCTCTGCAGTTGTCAACAGAGACCAACATTCTTAGGTAGGACAAAGAAATCCTGTCTACACGTTTACTAGATAATCTTATTGTTGTAGGGATGAGTACCTACTATTCACCATCACCACTTCGAATTCGGCGCTGTCATCATCATCATTCCGGTCCATCCGTCATCCAGATTTACTCTAAGGTAGCTACTAGTAGTCAATCAAAGTAAATGACTATGGTGTTTCACTAGTAACTTCAATTTCCATTTGTGCATGCATAGGTTTAAAATTGAGAACAAAATATACGTATTAAGTTATTTATTTTTTAAGTTATCACTGCTACAAGAAGATCTTTGTAATACAAAAAATGAAACTTATTTCCTTTGTTCATCTCTAGAATAATATTGTACTGCCTTGACTGCACTTTGCCGGTAGCTGGATAATGTATCTATTGAAAAATAGAATAAAAAAGTTTAAAATTTCTTTGTTTTTTTTTAAACATTCCTTTTGACATCTTTTTAGAATTCAAAAAACTTTTTTGAATCACTTTTTTGAATCACTCCTAACTTTTTGAATCAGTTTTTTGAATCATTCCTAAATTTTTTGAATCACTTTTTTGAATTTCTCTTAAAATCTCTTATAAACTTCTCTCTCTTGATGCTTGACACTTGATATACTTTTCTCGTAAAATTTCGGCCATAAGTTATGAATTCCATTTGGTATTGGTACGCAAAACGAATTTATGACAACTCACCAGAAAATTTCTGTTTATCCATAATGCCGAATACTATATTATGGTGGGTGGTGCTCGCCCCTTGGTTCATTTCAGTGGAGGATCGACTGTGGTACTTAAGGTCCCTGGTTGACATCAGGACCACGCATGAATATTTCTTTGTATTAGCGGGTTGGATGATACGGAGGCTTTGGCTGAAATTCGGTCCACTTAGAAAACAGACAATATAATTAGATGTTAATTTCTCTTACCTTTTCCATATTTCTCATAATGTGTCAATTCAAAGAACATTTGGTTTTAGCAGCAGGTTGAAGTAGTGTAGTCGTTTTTGGATGGATGCAATGGTTATTTGTTCACGCAACGTGGCCAGTACTGCTAAAACAATAAATCCGGTTACATATAAGCAATTATATTGTTGTATGGTGGGTAAGTGTCCAGGAATAGGGAAGTGTCAAAGAAGTAAACCACACGAGGCAGACCAAAGTCATTTAAGGAAAATGGTATTTAAGTTTAGAGCTGAACGAGGAAATAAGGGAGAACGTCGATTAGAATTTAGAGGTGAGATTTGGGAAAATAATAGGAAAGAAATAATTATAGGAAATTAAATAAAAAAGAAGAAAAAGTTCAATGAGAAAGACATTGGAAGAAATCTACGCAAAGGAGGAATTCCTTAAGTTCTTTCATGAGCTTGGAATTCAACTTTTCTAGCAAGACAATGCTCGTTATCATACAGCAATACCTACTTAACTCAAGAGGCTCCTATACTGACTCCACCTTCAGGAAGATCGTTGTCTGGGGCTATCACCTTCCCTTTGACGGTACCCACTTCCGACGTTGCTTTCACCCGCAATTCGCGTTTGAAGATTTGACTCCACCATCAGGAAGATCGTTGTCGGGAAAAAAACATTTTCGTATAGAATTTGGCCTGTAGAATCCACAAACTCAAACAGTCTGAAGGTTGGGCTGCAGATTTTGTGCGATGAAATGAAATCAAATCAGTACATCAAAAGTTACTTATAAGCTTTTGTTTTTTTTGGAAATTGTTTTTTTGCTACAACCTTATTTCTACTTATACAACTCTATCTGAAATGCGAGCGATTTTCACGTGGTTTTTAATCTACAGGTATTCAGATTTACCGACCAATTTGTTTCTTCGTCGACAGCCGCGCACAATAAACAAGAGGAGGGCGCGAACTCATTACGCGCGCAACTACTTGTAGACAGTGCGCCCTTATTACTCACGAGAAACTTTTCGGTACCTAAATTTATAATACGGCCGAGGTTATTTATCATAGTCACTCATACCCACAGGCGTTACTTTGCAACATTATTGTTATTCATAGCGTTTGCCTTAAGACGTGTTAGAAACATTCTAATCTCGCAGCACATAATAAATCACCTATACACTTTTCCTATTTTATGAAAGATGAAATGAATCGGGGGAAAACTTTCCAGCAAGTAGGTGACTTGATGTTTTAGATTTATTACAATAATGTACTGTTTCTGAAATGCCGCCCGGATACGTATCTCTACAAAACTTTGAATGAATTTTTCGACGTCAATTTTGTAGAAAATCAACGAGCTCTTCCTAATTTCTTTTGTGGCCGAGCGAATAACTCGATTAGTTCCTTATGACACCATCCTACCACAGGTACTTAATTTGCTATTACACAGGGTGTCTCGACCAAAACTTGAACCCCTTCATAAATGAACTTTCGGAACATTCAGAAGAAAGAGCGCCAAATTTGTTCGTCTAATCAGCTGCAGTTTAAATTTAATCCATATCATTTTGTGAGCACCCTCTTATCCCGATACCTCTTTTTCGGAGAGAAGTTCATATTGACAATTCTGACCTGCCCCTACGTGCTTCACCAATCACTTGGTTTGCGCACACGCACAACGCACGCTATAAGTGATATGTTTGGAATCGATAGCTTTAAAATAGAAAGAGCCACTGCTGAAATTTCAAAAAAATCGCTACACGAACAAAGAAATTTCAGTTTTACGACTTTTTTCTTCATTTTCATATGGAATTTGAACCAATTTAATTGTAAATTGTCACCGTATTAAGTAGCAATGAGAAAGTGCTTTTTTTTAAAATTTGTTGTGTCTGTTCAAAAAACATCAGAAAAAAATACTCACGAAATGAGAACATTTCGGTTTTTCTGGATAATCTTCGTATTCGGAATATTTAGGTTGCTTTTTTACCATCATAATAACTCTTTTATGATAGACATGGTGTCTTGGACACAGGAATATTTAGGTTGCTTTTTTACCATCATAATAACTCTTTTTCCAAGATCCCCATGATAGACATGGTGTCTTGGACACAGCGTCCAAAATCTCTGATTGCCGTTAATGGCTAGTTTCACAAATTGCTTTAGGAAATAGGTTATGGCTAAGAACTAAAAAGCCCCGTTTTATATTGCTCAACTATTTACTCGTTTTTAACTTGTAAGATCGGAGTGGAGGGAGTCATCAATTTCACGAGATATATTACATGGCTCTTTTAAGTCGGATTGATCTGTAGAAGAATCGATGAAACATGAGTTTAGTTTGTGGAATCCGAACGTACCAAGTTTGGGTAGTGAATAGCGATCACAACCACCATCACCTGCAGCATTGAACCGCGACTCTGGCAAGGTGTCAGCTTCCTCCGTCTGGTCTGGTTTTCCATCGGCATTTTCCATGGCCGTATCTGGAAACAGAAGTTTATGAAATGCATTAAACCTTCGTCCAAAACCTGTAATGAGTAAAATCGTATAACCATGAACTGAATGAGAGTTACCAACCAACCAATACATTTTGTGAGAAGCAGCAATGCAAGTACGCAGTAATTCCACTTAGCCGATATCCTACCTACCTGTTAAAACAGCTGGTCCTACGAAGGTTCCCTAAGGACGAAAAACTTAGTATGTTACTAACTGAAAAAAAAATTGGATACAAACCAAAAGTGAAGATGTTAGGAGTAGAGCACACACGATATAATTCATTATTCTGGTTCTTTTGATAGTGGTAATCGAACTCAGTTTCTATTTAACCTATATTTATTTGGCTCATGAAGTTGTAAATCAAACCATGCGTGTTGAATGTGTAATTTTACACTTCATTTCAAATGGCGCGGGATAGATTTTTTAATCACTGTTGCAATACCAGGTTCGCATTTTTTTATCAATAATTATCGTTTCATTTAAACGTAACATACTTAGGTATGCTATTTAGTTTAACTGATAATGGGGTAGAATTTTGGCGTTCGTACGATAACATCCTATGTTTGATACTGTATGTAAATGGCACTGCCACTCGTTCTATAAAATTACTCCTGGAATAGTGATAGTTCCGTTTGAAAATAAAATAGTTATGGCACCTTGAAATTAGGAAAATGTACCACTTCACTGTAAACACCCTGCACCTATTACTAAATCAAACATTCCCATTATCAAAGTTACTCGGATTAATATTATTGCTTAATTTCGAAAAACAAGATCACTACGCTTAATAAAAGTGAGGCATATGGGGAATTATTCGAAAAAAAATTAATTAAGGCGACATTGACAAACAAGTATAAATTGTTTTTTAAACCGAAATAGCTTTTGTTTTGACATCACCAATGGATATATGTATTCCTTGCAGACGTCTCAATCGCCCCAATTAATAGTGCCGAGAAATTGCTCCGAAATGGTTACTTGGGGGGTTTTCGCAGTCTCAGAGTCCAAATCCGGTCTCGAAATTCCCCGGGGATGCCAGGGGAGGTGATACGAGGGAGGTGGCGATAACTTTTTGTAACAAAGCACCCGCCCTGAAGTTTCATACCCGAAGTTGGCTACACCGTATTATTTATGGAGTCGACCAGCTTTTCTGAACACCCGGTATCTAGAACTTTTGATTAATGTCAATCTGTCAGTGATGACAGGAGGCATTATAAACATTTAGCAATGTCACAGATGCGGCCAGTAAACTGGCAAGCGGCAGAAAACGTAGTCCGCTCTGCCTATGTCATGGAATAGTTATTTACATAAGAGTCAGGAAAATGACACATTACTGGTGAGGAAATATTGAAGTGCGAGGTCCTTTGGAGCCGAGTAATTTAACTTCTGGGTCAAGTAATGTCATTTGCTGACGAGTTTTGTATTAAATTTTACTCGAAATCGTATGTTAATATAACATTTCAATTTTAATATAAAACTTTTGATTAATGTACTGACAGAAAGTAAGCATGAAAATGAAGGTTTCGGGACGATTTTGGGTAAAAAAATTGAGGAAGTAGTGGAATAATGGAAATTAGGGAAGGTAGTATCTAACAAATCCGGTTATTGTTTTTTGAGGAATTAAAAAGTGTTAATGAAAATTGATGGAGTGCAAATACCTGGTTCCTGCTGGAGGGAATAGCTCTCTCAAAAAGAATTACATTTTCTTAAAAATAAATGAGAAAAGATTGAAAGTTTAACAAGGGAGTTAATCCAAGAAAATTATTAAGATTTTCGTTCATTGTTTGGAGATTTTCTATAAATTGTTTGTGAGTGGATTTCGAAAATCTTAGAAATCTAAGGCTTTCATCAAAAATGAACGGCCGGAAGTGTAGATGGTGATGGAGTTGCCAAAAAATGATATTTTTTAATATTCGATTGACCATTCTAAACTACAAATGACGCTTTTGAATATTCATCCGACAATTTTAAAATACAAATGATATATTTGAAAATAAATGTGATTCTTTTTGAACTACAGTTGGAAATGGTGTAGTCCTATGGTTTTCAATAATATATTTAGTTCGTATCCTACTCGTAGCTCTGGTACCTGAGGCAAAAAAAATCTTGACGATTAATTTATTAATATGTTTTGTTGAAATTTTAACCACAGATACTTCTAGTAAAGGCAAACATATCGCATATAGCAAAAATCAGACTGCGCAATGCGAACATTTATGAACATATTTCGTTGAAATTTTAACCACAGATGCTTCTAGTAAACGCAAACATATCACATATTGCAAAATAAGATGTGCGAAAGCGTAGACTAAGCAATGTTAACTTTCTTATTTATTGAGATATTTCATTGAATTTTAGCCATAGATGCTTTTAATAAAGAAAAACATAGCTATACCCGTTTGGAAAGTACTGATAAATGTCTGGAAAATGCTCTAAAGCTACTCGCCTTAGGGTAAAAACCTTAGGCAAGGTCTCTTTTCTTGTCTAAGGTAAAAACCTTTTTACTTGTTTTGTATATCAACCATATGCATATTTTATGTTGTCGTACAGATTGATTTGCTCTTTTAAATATCTGGATACAGGATTTGAAAAACGAAAGTTGCATCGATTTCCAACCGAAAGTGGTGCCGTAAGTTTCAATATGCGATCAGATATGTCACATAAAAAATTGTATAACAAATTATTCGTATCTTGCCAAATAAAAGGAATACTGAGGCGATCCTCTTATTTCGAGTGTATAATTGACCAGTTTTCTAACCGTTCCCGGGGGATATTTAAATTACTTTTGCAGTACCCGAAAGCTCTCGTCATTTGGAACATGAGAGAAAACCTAGGAGAAAACTCATATTTTATGATTTCAGTTCCGTTTATTTATTAGTTGCCGAATTTATGTTGCAATGATAAGTGAAAACCAGGATAAAATGTGCAAGGACGCCCAAGTGTACGAAGATAATAATTACGAGTGAGCCGAGAATTTTTTACTAGTGGTTAATTAGAAGATTTTCAACAAACATCCGTACATATAGAAAGGGGCATTTTTTCTCTCGTTTTCGCTTTGAGAAATTGTTATTTTCCGTGTGCCGTAATTATGTGTTTAGCCAGTAATCGACCGCCTTGAACACGTACCCTTCCCCTGGGTTGACCCTTTCTTCAACTGAATTATCTGTGACCCGAATCATTTCCCTGACCTTGACCAGGAACAAGGAGTAGCAACTTCTGGTAGGGCCCGTGATCAACCGTATCGACCCTGCCCACTACCAAAGGTTATTTAAAATGAAATTCTATTTTGGGAATTACACATTTAGCTTTTGATCCAACTTATTTTTACCATTTCATTATAAGGTTTGCGGGGTCATCATTGCTGAGTTCGTCGCAAGGATAACCCGTGTGTGAGGGGATGGGGGACATCGAAGGGGATAACATGGTGGTAGGTCTTCTATAGACATTGATTTGCAGGAGTGAGTTGGAAGTCTAAGAAATTGAGAGATTTATTAACAGATTCGATTTCTTTTGTGAATATAAGATAGGGGTGGAGGGTGTTAAGGATATGAAAACAGCCATTCAGGGTGGTTCTGTTGCAACGAGGGATGATAAAGGCATCTTATGTAACGGTTTAGAAGGATCAAAGATCTCGCTCAATTATAACATGACAATTAATTTTTACCCACGGCTAGCCCAGTAATAAGAATCTTTTCTATACCACCTACCACACGGAAGTTTGGCCTTTAAATAAATACTCATATGACCTTA